AAAAAAAAAATCTATTTTAAGTATAAAGACAACCAAAAATAAGTCTAAAATAAAACAAAAGAAAAAGATGTACCATGCTAACACTAAACAAGGAAAATACCAGGGATAAAGAGAGTCATTGTGGACTGAGAACCAGGTGAGTTCATCACAGAACACAATAAAACTAAATATTTGGGACGGTGCCTGTGGCTCAGTGAGTAGGGCGCTGGCCCCATCTACCAAGGGTGGTGGGTTTGAACCCAGCCGCGGCCAAACTGCAACAAAAAAAATAGCCGGGCATTGTGGTGGGGGCATTGTGGCGGGCGCCTGTAGTCCTAGATACTCAAGACTGATGCAAGAGAATCGCCTAAGCCCAAGAACTGGAGAATGCTGTGAGCTGTGACATCACAGCACTCTACTGAGGGAGACAAAGTGAGACTCTGTCTCTAAAAAAACAAACAAACAAAAAAACTAAACATTTGTGCAGCTACTACCAGAACTTCAAAACATACGACGTAAAAATGTAGAACTGCAAGAAAAACAGGCAGACCCACAGCAGGAGCTACTTACCTGGCCTAAACACCACACTTCTAAATAACCACAGGTATACAAAGAAACTCAAGGATAAATTTAAACCATTTTTTAACTAAATAAAAATAAACAGCAATCTCATACTCCTGGAATCAGGCAATCCTCCTGCCTTAGCCTCCTTAGCTAGGACTACACAGGCTCATGTCACCCTGCCTGGCTAATTTTTAAATTTTTTGGTAAAGACAGGGTCTCACTAAGTTGCCTGGTCGTGTACTCCTGACCTAGAATGATCCTCCTGCCTTAGCTACCCAAATGTGCTGGGATTGCAAGTGTGAGCCACCATACCTAGACAATGGCAGTTTTATACAACGGTGTAAACTATAGTTCAAAAACCTAAACACAGACTCACCATGTGATCCAGCAATTCCATTCCTAAATACACACCCACAGGAACTGAAAGCTAGGACATGTCACCCACATACTCCCTGATCTCACCTCCAAGGGCTCCTCCTTGTTCCCACTGCTCTGGCCACCTGAGGCCTGCTGGCTCTCTCTCAAACATGCCAGACATTCTGTCCTGCCACAGGCCTTGGGCTTGAAGCTTTCTCCCCTCAGATATTCATAAGACCTGCTCTCTGGACTTTTGGTTTTAATTCAAATATCATCTTCCTGGGGAGGCCTTCTCTACTTATCCTACACAAAATTGTAACCCACATGCAGACAATACTCCCCAAACCCTTCCTCTGCTTTAATTTTCTCCAGAACACATACCACCATCTAATAATATATTACATGTTGCCCAAGGTAGAGTGCCATGGCATCAGCTTAGCTCACAGCAACCTCAACTGCTGGGCTCAATGGATCCTCCTGCCCCAGCCTCCTGAGTAGCTGGGACTACATGTACCTGTCACAATGCACAGTTTATTTTTCTGTTTTTAGTAGAGACAGGGTCATACTCTTGTTCAGGCTGGTCTTGAACTCCTATGGTCAAGTGATCCTCTTGCCTCAGCCTCCCAAAGGGCTGGGATTATAGGCGTGAGCCAGCACACTTAGCGCATATTTACTTATTTCACTTACTGTTTGTCTCTCCAATGACTAGGATAAAAAAAATTTTTTTTGTTAACTACTTTATCTCAAGCACCTAGAACAGTGTGTGGCATATAGTAAATGCACATTAAGTATTTGCTGAAAGCATAAACAAACAGAAAATTGCTAAGGAATATATTCAGTGTGCTCTGGTAAAAACAAATTAACAAATAAACCCCAGAAATCCTATGTCTTCTAACCTCATTTGGCCCCATTTTCTACTTCCTGCCAGGGCTCTAGTCCCTCTGGCCTTCTTTCTGCTTTACCTCAAACATGCCCTCCTCCCCAGACTTGTGCTTTTCCTCACTCTGTACGTACTTACTGTCCAAAACACTCTCTACCCAGTAACCTCTAGTTACTGTCCAAATTTTAGCTAAAACATCTTTTCCTTACCAAACTCCTTCCTGATCCCAGTCTTGATCTGGCTGCCCTGTTACAGGATTTCTCAGAATTTTATCCTCCTTCTTCACAGAACCTACCACATCGCAACTAAATGACCTTGTGTAGTTGGCCATTTCCTGGTTGTCTTCTTGCTAAGATATAAGTGCCCCGAAAGCATGGGCATATATCTGCTATGTCTTATTCACGACTGCCTTAGCAACCTGGGCGGAATCATGCTCAGAACAGAATCTGCTGAAGCATGTGAGCACTAGCTTCAGAGCAGCCATGGAAGGCTCCAGATAAACGCTCTTCCATATGATGGGGGGGGAGGTAGTCGATGAAGCCAATGAGCACTTGTACACAAACGGCAGAAATGTGAGTTCACCCTGTAACTCATCTTCTAAGATTCTACTCAGAAAAAACTAACCACACACCATATGCTTAAATATACTTATGAAACTATTGTTTAAAAGAATCTGAAAGTAAGTTGTTTTACAACAAATAAAGTGCCCTGTCAATCTTTCCTATGAGGGAAGTGGTAATACAAACTCTTGGTTATCAATTATGTTTAGAGTTCACCTGTTATTCAATAAATTATTATTTCATTTATTTATTTATTTTGGAGACAGTCTCAAGCTGTTGCTCTTGGTAGAATGCTGTGGTGTCACAGCTCACAGCAACCCCTACCTGTTGGTCTTAAGCAATTCTCTTGCCTCAGCCTCCCAGGTAGCTTAGCTGGGACTACTACTAGTGGGCCTGGCTATTTTTTTTTTTTTTGGTTGTAGTTGTTATTGTTGTTTGGCGGGCCCAGGCTGGATTCGAACCCACCAGCTCTAATGTATGTGGCTGGCGCCCTAGCTGCTGAGCTATAGGCGCTGAGCCAATAAATGATTATTTAAAGGCAAATATATTTCACACACTATGCTGGGCATAAAAGTAAAATAATTGTACCAGGCTCCAATTCTGTGAAGAATAGAAGAGAATGTTTCTTCAAGATTCCTTTATAATTCTTGTATCTATTTTTGTTGCCAGAAAAAGAGTAAACTCAAAGCCCTCCTCAAAGATCAGCTCAGATAAAGCATTTGAAGGAAACAAAGTTTGAGAGAAGATAAAGTAAAATCCCTAAGAGCTGCTCCTCAGCCATGGTTAATAGCTGAAGTATGCCAGAGATACCAGACCATACTTCTTCTACCATATGCGGGATTTTCCTGTCTAACGTAATACTCTGCCTTTCAGTGGCTTTTCTTTGCCTTCTCTATGCTGGGAACCTGGCTACAATTCCCAAACTCTAATGCATAGTTCCTTCCCTTGAAAAGTTTGCAACAACCACAAATACCATCTTGGTCTAAATAGCATACCAAGGCTCCGAGGTCATTTTAAGATACAAAAGTGGAAAAGCTTGTTTTCTGGCTGTTTGTATGTCCTAAAATAACTAAAAAATTCCTAAAACAGGCTGTTTCAATAAATGTACCAACATGGAAAAAAGAGAAGGCCAGTGGACCAGTGAGCCATTCAAAAACGTGCAAAGGGAACAGTAAGCAGATTTGCTCTCGGGGGGGGGGGGGGCAAGGAGCAGCATACCAAGGAAAAACCACGGGGTCTGTGGCTGCTCTTTGCCGTTAGCCTAATCACAGGTACCAGACACTAACTCCTGAAATCTGACACTAGTCTTCACGACTCCCACTTTCCGATAAGAGGAAATGTCCCTGGACTCTTCCCTATACCATAGGGGGAGGATAGTAGATCTAGACTCTAAAGGGACTGTGGCTATAAAATACACAGGGTGAAGCAGGGCATAGGTATGTTCCATGGACCCTGCTGCCCAGAGCTATACAGGGAGACAGCACCCTGAATTCTGAACACAGATGAAAACTAAAGATGAGTGAGCTCCCGCAGCCAAGACCCATCCTCAAATATGGCATGAAAGAGAGGCTGGAGTCTACAAACAGAGCTGCTGCCTTTTAAAAGACTTCCCCCCTCCACATAAAAGGCAAATAAATTCAAAGAATAGAAATGCCTGAAGGGGAGAGAAAAGAGGGGAGACCATTACCCTCAAAATTCCAGTTTTCAGAATTGGCAGTCTACCTAAAACCTAAGGTGTCGATCTGAAACCCTGAGAACATAAAAAACAAAACAAAACAAAACGAACTACACACCAACTTTCTATCACCCAGACTTCCACAGGGCAAAAGCAAACAGAACACACAACACTGTGATGGACCCTAAAGGTTTAGAAGGCTACGGGGTCATAGGCAAGTTGAAAAGTGTGATCTCTCAACTATGGAGGCAGGCTCAACTGTCCATCCCTCTTTAACCTTAGGCTCTGCAGGAGGCACAGCCAGATGGTGACAGCAGTGACGCTGCTCCACAGCAGTCACCACTGCTACAGAAAATCTGCCTGCTGAGACATACTGAGGAGCGGGAACGTACCCGCCGGCTGCAGAGGGAGCTGCAGGGTTATTCTTCAGTTCCTGAACATTCACCACCTGAGGGACATTCTTCAAGGTTGATTCAGTCAATGTGCTTACACCTGTTTAAATAGAGAGGAAAATTATATTAATTCCCATAAAGAATCAAAATTCTAGTCATACATAAATGAATAATCAAGACATGAACTCGAGCAGATTACAACCCTATTATATGAAGGAAATCTACCAGACAGTTCTGTAGGGGTGTTCAATGGAACACCTGGCCTACTCCACTGACAGGCCATGGAATGAAGCTTGTTGCAATGTAATCAAATGGACCAGTGTAGGGGGGAAAAGTGCCTGGCTAGCTCTTCTGCAGCAGAGCCGAGGCACCTGCCACACTGTTGGCCCCCCTGGAAAAGGGCAGCAAGTTCGAGGGGATTGGCAGCATCCAGACTTGAGATTTCTGCCACTCATCTGTTCTTTCTCTCACATTGGGCATATTAGTGTTTAGGTGCTAAGAATATAAAAGGTGTCTATAGTTTCCACTCTAAAGGAGCTTGTGGCTTAGTGAAACAGGTCCAACGAATAAAATGAGGAAAACTGAGCTTAGACAAGGACTAGGAAGAGGCCAAGAAGCCTAAATTTTGAAATGGCAACACGCATCTATTTGATACTTATCTAATCAGCCTTTACTTCTCTTTGTGTCCTATAATCTTAAATTTTATTCCAAAAGACTTACTGGCATTCAATAATTAACTGTTAAGAAAGCCTAAACGAAGCTCTTAGATCTCTTCTAACTGAAAATGTGCCCCAGGCAGAAAGATGGGTTTGCAGCGACTCTTTATTCCCTCCTTCAGCAGAGTGACCAGGGACACCTTGCCTATGACTGCACATCCTTTGTCTTTCACATTCAAAGGTGCCTACACTTTAGAAATTTTTGCTTCCAACATGATAAAGGAGATCACACCACCTCCTGCTGAAAGCAGAACAAACTAAGTCCTGGCAGATCTTAAGTTTACAAATATTCACCTCAATCAGCTTGATTTTGGACCTGGTCAGCACAATGCCAAGAATCTGCTTAGTCCAAGTAATACTTACAGACAGCATCACAGAATTTTATTTTCAGAAAGCTCAAAGGTACAATAAAAAGTTATCTTGTTTTTGTTCCTCTATGTTTCAGGTATAGATATCACTGAATTTTTTTTTTTTTTTTGAGACGGAGCCTCAAGCTATCCCCCTGGGTAGAGTGCCATGGCATCACGCTGACAGCAACCTCCAACTCCTGGGCTCAAGCGAGTCTCCTGCCTCAGCCTCCCAAGTAGCTGGGACTACAGGCACCCGCCACAACGCCTGGCCATTTTTTTGGTTGCAGCCATCATTGTTGTTTGGCGGGCCCGGGCTGGGGATTCGAACCCGCCACCTCAGGTGTATGTGGCTGGCGCCCCAGCCGCTTGAGCCACAGGCACCGAGCCGATATCACTGAAATTTAATATTTTTAATAGTTGTGATTTTCTTTAAACTGTTCTGATTTGTCACTGCTAATGATTATTCCTTCTTACTTACATTAAACCATCATGACTTCTGAGCCTTTTAAAGCTCAACCAATTTAGGACGGTAAGTCTATAGGTATTCTAAGCAGTGATAACTGAAAAATAATTCTCCTCAGCTTAAACAAAAATACTTAGCTTACACTTGAGTTTCTTGACCTTGGCACTATTGATATTTTAGGGCTAGATAACTCTTCCTTGTGGGGTGTCCTGTGCATTTTAAGTTTTGTTTTGTTTTGGTTTTGGAAGACAGACAACATGAGTACATTATGACCAAGAACCCAAAACTCGGTATCATATTTGGGGACCCAGATAGCACTGAAGACAAAATACTGGTATCATATTTGGTGGCCCGTATGGGGAAAGAAGACGATCTGTGGTAAGTAACGGGACCACTGACCTCTATCCTGCTTTTCTCTATAGTTATAATAATGGAGACTAATAACTTTGATGCACATCAGCCTGTAAATGTGCACAGTGCAGCTGCTGACCTCCAGGGCACGGGCAAAAGGCTGTTGGGGAACTTTCTAATTACCCTTGGCTCCAGAAAGGAGCTGGAGGCAATGTTAAACAACTTTTGAACCTGTTCTGTATTTATTCCTTTTCCCTGGTTGAGAACCGAGCAAGGAGATAGCACCCAGAGGTCTTGGGGTCCCTAGCAATGGTTCTGAACCCAGGACTTGGGAGGGCCTTCGGAAAATCATGCTATCCCAGCTTTTACTATCTTCTCTTCTCTTTCATGGTCCCAAATTTTTCCTATTTACCTCTATAGACCTCTTCTGGTTCTCTCTCTCCTTGATAGTATATATGCTTTGTTTGAATGTTGGTAAAGGACTGCAATGGTTTTATGGATTAGGTAGGTTTGGCTAATTTTGGTATTTTTCAAATGTTTTAAGTGTTTCAAATGTTGCAGAGGTCCTTTTTATTGCTTTTCATCGCAAAATTGAATTCAACTAACTTTTAATGTGGCTGAGACAAAAGGCTGACACACATTAACTACAAGTCAGCTCCAAACAAACGGCAAAATGAACCCTCCACACTTTGAGTAACCAGAGGCTTGTGAAGGGAAGACATGGGCAACTCCCCAAGGCAAGAATGGCCCTAAACCCCCAGCTACAGTTTAGTCTCTTGAAAATAAAGAGGAGCAATGAAAATGACCCTGGGCATTTGATTTCTTCTGGTTTATTGATGAAAACAGGGAAGTTGAAAATAATTCCAGGTTTCTCTAAGACTTCTGCTCATTGTAGCTAATTGTGATGCAAAAGTTTCAAAGTGTCTCTCAACCCTGAGTTTAAGTATTTTTACCTTGTCAACGTTTGGGGGGGGAAAGGAGGTTGGAAAGGATAGCATTTAAGACCTGCCCATGACAGAAAGCCTATTTTCCTGTATAAACTGGGGATTTGGAAAAAGCTTGTAGAAATTTTAAAAGGTTATATGTATAAGCACGGCCTTGCCATTTTCTCCAGGGCGGGGCTCATCCCCACTTTGATGGATACTGTGGGGCAGATGCAGAAAGAGGGAGAACTTGCATCAGGTGGGACCAGGCTCCCTGATACCTGATTTCTCAGACTGTGCTGCTGGCAAGTAATAAGCATAAGAGAACAAGCAGGTACTAAGCACTACACTGGTAAGAGTGGCTAATTCCAGACAAGCACAGGGGCTGAGGCCACTCTCCTATGGATTCTTCCCCAAGCATTGGAAGGACGCTTCCTTTTGTTTGGCTGGAAGGCTTCTTGGGTTGGTCAGAGGATGCTTTGACAACCCAGGAATACAGGGTGGGATTGATTAAGACGCTGGACGTTTATTCTTTCCCACAGACGGGTAATGTTCTCTTGTCAAGAGAACTGTCATCAGGTGGGACCAGGCTCCCAGATACCTGATATTTTGGCCTGTGCTGCCAGAACACCCCACTGGGCTATGTTGGGATATGTTTGATCCCCAGATGCTGAAAAAAGAATATATGGTTTTCTTCTGCACCCCGGCCTGGCCTCAGTATCAACTCTCCACTGGTGAACGATAACTACCAGAAGGTACTCCAAATTATAGTAAATGAGAAAGGCAATGGTCTGAATTACGTATGTGCAAGCTTTCTTTTTTCTCAGGAACAACCCCCAACTGTGTAAGACCTATCAGATAGATCCAGCTCTCCTGACTGTAGTAACTTCCCCAAATGGTCAGAGATTCCCGAGAAAGACACTGTCACCACCTAGTTCAAACCCACCATCTACTTCTCCCTCATCTTCCTTCGTGCGTTCAGAAAACCTGAGGAAGGAGGCTGTCCCAAGAGGTTTTTTTGGTCCTACTGGGACCCCCAGAAGGCAACCATATCCTTCTTTGTGTCCCTTGGTTTAGACTGTGGGTGGTGACAGGGGAAGTGCATGAGTATACACTTCATTTTCTCTGGCAGATTTAAAGCAAATTAAGGTTGACTTAGGAAAATTTCCTGATGACCCCAATTGGTACATAGATGTTCTCCAAGGGTTAGGATAAAGCTTTGACCTCTCTTGGAGAAACATAATGTTACTACTAGATCCAACTTTAACTTTTAATGAAAAAAATGAAGTCTTAAATAGAGCTAGAAAGTGAGGTAATTTGTGGTTAATGTCCAATACTGATGGCAGTATATCTCCTGGGAAAAGGGACAGATACCCTGTAGGAAGACAAGCAGTTCCCTTTGAGGATCCCGAATGGGACCCTGAGAAAGAAGGTGACTGGTGGTGTAAACATTTTCTAACGTGTATTCTAGAAGGTTTACATCAATCCAAAAAAGAGCCCATGAATTATTCTAAGTTGTATACTATTTGCCAGGAGCAAAATAAGAGTCCCTCAGTCTTTCTTGAGCGGCTTATGGAGGCTATGAGAAAACACACCCAGTTAACACCCAACTCCATAGAGGGTCAAATTATCTTAAAAGATAAATTTATCACTCAGGCAGCCCCAGACATTCGAAGGAAACTCCAGAAATTGACTTTAGGCCCATATCATAACCTGGAGAATCTTCTAAAAATGGAAACTGTGGTCTTTTATAACCGAGATCAGGAGAAAGAGGAGGGAAAAGAAGAGAAAGGATATAAAAAGAATGACAGCTCTAGTAATAGCACTCCAACAAACCGGCACCATTCAGGGGCGGAGGGGAGCCAGAGGAGCTAAGAACAAGTGCTTCCAATGTGGTCAGACTGGCCACTTCAGAAAGGACTGCCTCCAGAAGCACCGGCTGGGCAAGCCATCTGACCCCTGCCCAGAATACAAGAGTGACTACTGGAGGGTGGCCTGTCCTCCAGAGACAGTGATCCCATCAGTACCCAAACTGGACTGAGGGTGCCTGGGGCAGATTCTCATGGCTCCAGCTTGCATCATCACCCCTCAAGAGCCTGGGGTTTGCCTCATACTGGAGGGTGAGGAAACAGAATTTCTTCTGGACACTGAAGCAACCTTTTCTGTACTCCTCTGTAACCCTGGTTTTTTATCCCCCAAATCTGTAACTATACAGGCGGTGTCTAGAAAGTTGGTTACCAAATTTTTCCCTCAGCCTTTAAGCTGCAACTGGGGTGACTGGCTGTTCTCTCATGCCTTCCTAATCATGCCTGAAAGTCCTGCTCCCCTTTTGGTGAGGATATATAAACTAAAGCATATGAACAACCATTTATATGAATATGGGACAAGAATACTATGCCTTCCTTTACTGGAGACAGAAATTAACCCAGAAGTGTGGGCTACCAAAGAACAAGTGGGAAGAGCAAAACCCAATCCAAACATGATTTTGCACACAGATAGAAGTTCTTTCATAGAACAAGGAACTCGCAAAGCAGGCTATACTCTAGTTACTCAGTATGCTGTAATTGAAAATGGGTCTTTCGGCTCGGCACCTATAGCTCAACCGGCTAAGGCGCCAGCCACGTACACCTAAGGTGGCGGGTTCGAATCCCCAGCCC